AGGTTCTGTGTACAGTGGGTGGGTGCCAAGAATAGAGCCATGACCGATGCCACCTCCTGTACAAGTCAGTCTGATGTCCACTGCACAACTGAGTTACCATGTTGCAAGCATGACCCACCCCTGCTACGCAAGCAAGAATGAGCACTGAGCAGGACTGCTAACCTGGCCGCATTCTCAGCATTCGTTTGGTGTGGGTGTGGCCATCGCTGTTCCTGCTTGAAGATAAAGGCCATCTTTCTTGGCCTTTGGAGTGTATTTGATCGAATAGTGGTGGCTGGTGGAGGGGCAATCTTTAGGCAGATGTCAGAGCTTTAAAAATATCAGCAGTTATGTGTCTTTTCTACTTGCCCTACTACTTTATGCTTTAATTTCTTAAGTTTTAAAACTGATATTCACTTAAGGCTCAGTTTGTCAAGATGCCCGGGGAATCATAAAAACCGGTGCAGAGCGAAACTCGGTGTTCCAGCGGGGGCATGTATGTGTGCGTGTCTATAACCGTGAACTTAGATCTGAGACCGGCACACGCTTAATGCCTGGTTCCAAGAGCCCCGAGGTTCCCATCTCTGGAAATGTTCCTTCCTCCCACCTCTTCAAATCCTTCAACGTAGACACAGAAAAGAGACATTCTGAGCAACTAGGACCCGGCCCAGTCCCATCTCAGGAATCCAGGGCCCCATGGTTAAGACCATGGATCCCTATCGCTCTATAGGGTTTTTAAAGGTCATGCCCTTGGTTCTGCTGAGAAGCACCTGGGGGCAGGAAGCTGTGTGGGAGGTAAGCATTAGTCTGAAGTTGGGGCCTGGCCTCCATCATTGGTGTGTCTGTGGCACTTCGCCCCCCTGTACCCCAAGTTCCTATTCTGAACAATAGGGAGGAGAAAGATCCCACGCTGACCAGTGACCCCAGAGAAAAAGTGCAAAGTACCATCGATGCATTTAAGATGTTTGTAACAAACTTGGATTGCAGTGGCCCAGGGAGGGGACTGCTCAGGTTACTTTCACGGTCATCTGCCTGCACTCTCGAAGGTGTTGGGCACAGGCTTAGAATCTCAAATGTTTTCTGTCTTATGTTCAATTTTCTCTAGATTAGGTCAGCGGGAAGTAGCATCTGCCTGCGTGCACTGTCATCCTCCACGTGGTGGCACTGCCTCCCAATTAGCAATTTCCTTTGGTGAGAGGCTGGCTGAGACCTTTCACTGCGAATGAGCTGCAAGAAGAAAAACTGCAGGAAGAAAAAGAAACACAAGGAAGAATCCATAGCCC